AATGGGCAGTTGACTTCTCACTTCAAACTACCACCACCTCACTCTATGCCATATTTGACTATTTCCACAGTACTCTTCTTACCTTTTTTCTACCTTTGTGTTTGTCTCTTACATCTTTGAAACACTTTTCTGTCCCCCCCCCCTCTCGACTTTTTTTCAATTTGATGTTCCTTCCCCTCTGTGAAGTCTGAAGTCAACTAAAGGGCTAATGATAACCATCAAGACGCCTGCCATTTGATATAAATAAATAAATATAAATAAGTTTTCAGTAATAAGTTTAGGTGAAATTCTTTCAACCAATAGCTGTAGTGGATACTTTACCGAGACCAGAAAATTGAATGAAATACTGACATCCACTATCAACTTGAAGTATTCATTCCAATAATTCTTCAAAATGATGCCTAATCAGTGCATTAAACTTAGTTATAATAACGCGGATATTCTTGAATTTTTAAATTAGCTTTCGACTAAGTAACATAGGGCAGAATAGTAATGAGATATGGCCACCTTATAAACAAAAGTAAAAACTCAACGAAGTTTTTTATTCATTTCACTTTATTTGCTTTTATTTGGTTCACAGTCATTTTAATTAATCGCCGATTTTTCGTAAAGTTGTAGTCAAAATTTTGGCAATATTCTTCAGTACTATCAATTCCATATCTTTTCCTCAAAAAATTTCCATTTCGCTTCTTAATTGCATTTCAGTCATTGATTTAATGAATCGGTGACCAATGTGGCGCCTAGTACATCCTGCTAACAATCGTGCTAGCCGCATTAAACCGCCAACCAGGGTGAACACTGTGCTACCTTTTGCTATTAAAGTTAGTCCCTACGCTTCCACGGTCTGTTTCATAAAGTCTTAACAGAAAGTACTTTAACAGAAACTGAATTTATTCAAGAGCATATTCTGTAATCTACACTTAAGACAGAAGGGAGAAGGAACCAATCAAAGATCTTAGCCCCTCTCTTGGCATATGTCTGCTCTTATTCTTACTGCAACCGTTCTGATTAGATAGTGAGATCGTTAGTATGGGTTTATTTGATTCACCATATTGGGCCAGTACATATCGTACACAAGTTATCCGTTTCCTTGCCTTTGTTAGTTCATCAAATTGGTACAAAGCAAATATGTGAGTCAAACTGCGCATTCGTGAGAACTTATGAGACACAATATGGAAATATATCCTTTGGAAAAGGCACAAAATGCGGGAGATTAAAACGCACTTTTTTAAATACTTAGAGAATTTATGCGCATTGATCTGCGCGGTTGTCTGCCAGGTTAGAAGTCACCTTTTAGATTCCCACTCAGTGGACCGAGTGGCCAAGGCTACTGATTTAGTCTGACCAATATCGAGAGCGTCTGATTTCTCCCAACAGAGAACACCATAATGCCACAATCTAGCTGAATGGGCCTCTAAGAATGCATTCTTCAATACACCCGTCAAATAGAGCCCCAGGGAGGTCTTGAAATATTATCCAAGAAGGCAGTTGATGAAATACCACTTTTGAATGGAAATGTAACTCGATAAGGAATGTAAGGTACTCTCAACTGTTACCCAGTTTCCGCACAATTAACCCCCTGGGGCATTCTTCAGTGGATGATCGTGGTTTACTTCCAGCTTGCTACAACATTAAAGGCCAAGTTTAAGGGTTTAACCTCGGTGTTCAAAGAAATACTTGACTTGGTCTCGGTAAGAGAAGTGCCCGAAGTAGAATCACTTTGTGATGCCTTGTTACGGTTCCCATGTTCATTCCTAAAGGTGAAGACCTCTTCATTTAATGAACAGTTAAAAGTCGGCTCATCGCCTGGCTGTACTTGAATTCGCCAGAACTGACAGAAGTGTTGTCAAAAGTGGCGTGCATCCCCTAATCAATAAGACAGGCAGACTACTGGGAGACTATCGTCATCATAGCAGGCACTGTGGCCTTGAGCAGTGACTGATAGGGTCTCACTCTAGGTCAACTTTATAGGGAGCTTTAAATATTTTCTTATTATTGACAGTGATCAGTTGTTTAAATATCAAATTTTACTAACCGAATGAACGGATTTATAGGTTTGTTTTATTTTTTAGTGAAAGAAGATAGCAGAATTTGGATTCACAATATGTTCTATTATTTTTGGAGATTTGGAAAAGCGGTATGCACTTCTCAAAGGCACCTCAATGATAGAGTGCAGAAGTACTTAATGTATAACGAAGTAATGACTGCCTTGAGTAGACAACATTTGGAAAATTAAATACCTATTGGTATATTCGTGGAAAAGCAGCTCCTTCCATATTGCAAACATGAATTTTTTCCGAAAGTATTCACATACGATTGAAAACGTTCGCCTACAAACGTCCTGCGATATTTCAATAGAGATGGGATTTTACAGACATGGGGCTGATATTCAACTTCGTTTGCGTGTTTAGTCAATAGTATACAAGGCGCACAAATGACTTTCAGTGGATGATTTTGTTGAATTTTATCTTTGTTAATGAGAATACTCACACTTGTAAAAATAAATAAAAGAATACACGAAATCTAAAATTCCTAAAATCTCACTTTTCATAATATCGAAATCTCCTCCGTTTATTCCGAATTAAATTATCGTTAAAACATTTTACTTTACTATGGTATCTTGAGGGGGGTGTGCGATAGACTTACCTCCGCGTGGTGCACCCTAGGAAGCGTAATCTCATACGGCAATGAAGTCTATTAACCGGTAGTTGATTGCTCACTTCAAACTAACATCATATGTCATATTCGACCACTTCCACAGTGCTCATCTTGCCTTTTCTCTGCTTTTGCAACTGTCTCTTTTACATCTGCGACTTTCTGTTACTTTGATGTTCCTTCCGTCTGTTAAGCCCAAGGTCCACTAAGGGCTAATGATAACTGTCAAAACGTCCGTCATTTGATATCAATAAGTTGTATCTTGAGACCAAATTTTGTCCAATTTTTCATTATTCGCGCTAAATACATCCTACTTATGATATATGAGTAGAGATAAAGTATTCCAAATTTTTGCGAAATTTAAGTTTCAATTTTTGGTTACCTTATAAACAAAGCGCACTTCCCTCTAGACCATTTAAAATACGCTTTGCGTTCTTTTAAGGCCACTTTAATTTCTATAGGCTTTCTTGCCTAATCCGAAATCATATGATTACACAAACAATGCGAACAATGTTTTAGACGTAGTCTAATTTCCCTTCCATTACTTCTTGGATTTCATTTGTTTTATCGATATTTTAAGTCTATAATAAAGTGTTCTTCCTCTGACTAGGGCATGCTGGGTAGCGGAAAGTAGTATAAGAGGAAACCCGATGAGAAACCACTTTCTCATAGCCCATTTACCAAGCGTTGACTCGTAATTTACCTAAAGTTCGTTCAATAACATTAATACTTCTACTGATAATACATTTGATGCAATAAAGCCCTTAAATAGAAGTTCTCTTCTTTCTCTAACAATGGCATTGTTATCCTTAATACGACTTCGGTTATTGCAACAACGAATAATTGCCTAAACGTGATTATTCACTGTTAAATTAATATAATTAAAAGTTGGTAAAGTTCTCTGCCAATTATTTTTACTCCATTCGAATTTTCAAGGTCGCGAGAAATCTTGTAAAAATCATTTTCAGTTACAGCAGATGTGGTAAACGGAATTAACTAGCCTAGCCCAGTATGACTAGAGCGTCAGCACTCGTTTTCACAATTTCATTGGATGGGCGATATCGATTGATCGTCTAAGCTATGTGTCTGTTCACGCGTACCGCTAGTACTTGCAGGCACTGATCGATGACTATTACTTCGCTAGTTTAACACGCAGGCAGCCTTCAGCTGCTATGGCTTTCTCTAAGGCCTACCTCGCATGAAAATTTAGAGCCGTTTTATTAAACCTAAGATTTTATGATCTTAGACTGGGTCAAAACGTCTCAAACTTTTCCGGATGATTAGTACTACGTTCCTCTGCCTGTTTGCCGAGTTTGGTTACGATATACCAAATTTTAAAGAAAATAATATAAGTTAAAATGTATAAAGCGGACTCGAAATGAACTTATTTTCTGCATTGCATTAAGTCTTTGTGCGCGCCTAGTCAGAATAACACATTCGCATACAACGCGCGTTGCAACCAATACAAGCAGAGTAGTGTGACAGACAGGCGCATGCGTCGCGTGCACTATGTGCGTTGGTGAGTGAAAATAGTGCGTAAGTATTACCCAAACTAAAATATCTCAAATGCTATGTTGATGGACCACATAGTCCCGAATTGTGCTAAATCCCCTTAAGAGGAACGGCTGTGACCCCGAATCACTTGGACTCACTCTATGACTAACCACCTAAAGCTGACCTCTGTGGCCTTAAATAACCGCTGGTGCTAAAAGCACAATCAGGTCAGGTAGCGCAAGGGTAGGGGGCGGTTAGAAAACAGTTAATTGAAGAAGAAACAGCACATAAGTTACTATTATAAAGTCTATAGAATACAACATGTCCGTACACTGATATAGGCACCTCTTTTGCCCGTTTGAGATCAATACAAGCCCGTAGGCACAAGAGAAACAAAACACCAGGCAATGCAACGGGTAGCAAGCTGATCAGGTCCGCCATATTGAATTGTAACTAGTAAAACAAAACTAGGGCTCCAACTTGGAAGCTTAAGAATTAGGAACTAAGCCGCCCAAAAAGTTGACGAAGCAAAGGGGCCAACGCAACCCCGTGAAGCCAAAAATACTCTAGCTAGCCATTATTTATAAAGCACTGATGAGCATAAGGAACATTTTATCCGCCATATTGAATCTGAAAGCGAAAGCGCAACCCCCGCGGGTTTAAAAAGAGGCACAAACTTCAAATTGAAACACAACCCAAAACAAAGCCAAAACAAGAAGTTAATTGTAACCAACATAAATGCACGAAGTTTTGTATATTTGAAACAACAATAACAACAAAAAATGAATGCTATAGCCAAGGGGTGAAAGGTTCCCTAATACAGATTAAAAGGAAACAGTTAAAGTAAACACCTAAGCCCGTTCACCACGAATGCGGCGTGCAAGTTGAATGTCCTTCGGCATAATTGTCACCCTTTTAGCGTGAATTGCGCACAAGTTTGTATCTTCAAAAAGTCCAACAAGGTAAGCCTCGGAAGCCTCTTGGAGAGCACCAACAGCAGCACTTTGGAAACGAAGATCCGTTTTGAAGTCCTGAGCGATTTCACGAACTAGACGTTGGAATGGGAGCTTGCGGATTAGCAACTCCGTGGATTTCTGGTAGCGCCGAATTTCACGAAGAGCGACGGTACCAGGCCTATAACGATGGGGCTTTTTAACGCCACCAGTTGATGGTGCAGATTTACGAGCAGCCTTTGTAGCGAGCTGCTTTCGCGGAGCCTTTCCACCTGTAGATTTACGAGCAGTTTGCTTAGTGCGAGCCATAACTTATCAGCAGCTAACCGATAAAATGAATGAAGAGCTCCCCGATTCTTTAGATTTAAACAATTAATCCACTTAAACAAAATGTTACATAAATCTAAGGTTATTATTTTACAAACAAAAAAGAATTGCTTAAGTATCAGTTTGTATGTAAAAGGTTTCTATTTTTAATTAAATGGCAAATTGCATTAAAAACCAAAGTATCAATTTCTTCTGTCAATTAGAAACTATGGAAGAGTTAGATTTAATTTGCGTATTATTTTTGACACACTGTGTCAAAATAAAACGTAATAAATATATGTTGGCAATAAAGTAGGTTTTCGTTTAAATTATTTCAATATTTCGTGAGGTAAAAGCCAATCAAACTCAAGTTTAGTCTGAGTTTTTTCGCTTTTATGTTTCTAAGATATTCGATCTTACTTCATAACAATTATATTTACGTATGCCTCACCTTGTTAGTTCAAAACCCGCAAAATTTATGTCACTATTCGTTTTTCATTCTAGAAATCTTCGCCTCAGTGCGTGACGAATAGCTTAGAAATAGATAATTAGTACGCAAAAATAGATACGATAAATAGATCTGATTTAAAACTCCTAGAAACAATTTTAATTAACTAAACTAAAAATATGGTTTTATGTTTAAAAGATAACATTTTGTTTCCTTTATGAAAGCTTAGTATTTTGTTTATCACAATAACAGATTTAAATTACAGTTTAAGCTTTTCATAAATAATAAATTAATATAACAAGCAATAGTACCTGCATACTTGGCTTGTTTAAATTATATTTAATTGAATCCCTTCACAACATCTCTTTTCTTACTTTACATAAATTAATTGCTAAGCTTTACTGATTGCATGTTGTTCGCCATCTCAGCTCCACTGGACTTATTCTCTCTCACACTAGTGTGTAATGAAAAATATTTTGCTCAATATTTCTGTACATAAAAAACATCGAGTTCCTGTAATCATGCAAATAACTATTCAATTATCATTGATTAAATTCTGTTTATAAATTAAATTCAGGATTACGATTTAATCTTTTCGAACCGCAATTCAAAAGAATCACGAGGATAAATCATGAAAACTTTAGTTCAATAAAAATCTTGTTAATTATACTCCATTAAATATGATTAAATTGCTAACGAATATGACAATAGATACAATTTTAACTGTTACTATATTATAGAGTACAATTCATGCATACATTGTATTTGGTAGAATTGAGTCAAATTCTTCGAACTAAACTTTCTCTCGGCGTCCTAAATTTAAATGTAATCTTATTTTTTTCCTTTAAGAACTTCAAATTGCATCTTTTATTGTGCGAACAAGATACAAGCTAATCAGATGCAATAATTTATTTCCGTATACTTATTAAAAAGTTCATAATGGGACATACAAACACTCATTTTGTAATAACGAATCTCATTTTACGACGCGAATTCTATAAGGAACGTGTCTTGTATGAACGTATTTATCTGTTTGCCTTTTCTTTAGTTAATACATAATTTTCGTCAAAATTTATACCCATGTATTTATACCCATGATTAGAGCTTAGTTGCAACCAATTCATGTACCTATTAAGGTGAGCAAAATGATATATATTTGAAATTAATGATGACTAATAAACAAGCTAATGAAACATTTAAATAATAGTTTCAACCGTTTTTAGCTGGCTAAAATGGAACTCAAACTTGTGATGTACCTTTGAATATTAAATGTGCGAATATATCGTTTGGCAAATTAATCAGTTTCTGTATTACTATCTAGCATATTTACTAGCTGCACAATTTTCGATTCATAAATTTAGATCTAAATTAGAAGAGCATTGAAGCTTCTACTTTTGTGCGGATAATAATAAATGCACTAGAAGCGTATGTAAAATAACATGATCAATCAAAACCGAACGTCAAATTTTGTTACATTTAAAAATGCATTATGAAACATGCCTTCAGAACTTAAGTTCGTTGAGGCTCAGTCTTGGGTAATTTGTTTGTTCTCTGTCAAATTTAAGCAATAAATATAATTTTCTCCTAACGCGTCATTAAAATTTTCGTTTAATTCGATGAAGTTGAATCAAATATTGAACAAAAATGAATAGGTTATAAGTATATGTGATTGAGCGCAGATGTATCTATAGGTACAAATCAATTTTGTTCAGAAAATCTATCCCATGTTTTAAAGATTAATGTTCCGACTTAGTTCGTTAGTAGAGTAGTCACTCAAAGATTTTGCTATTTAAGGGCGAAGTTTGCGTATTTTTTAGAATTCTTCCTTTCTAAGCCACTTTGTAATCTGTGCAAATGTTTGCCTTTCCTTAGGACATATTTGCCAGCAGAATTTCAATACAGGTAGAATGTTGGTAAATTCCTTTTTCGAGGAGTTAGGGTAATTTCCACTTTGTATGAATTTACGTAGGTTACCCGGCGGAACATCTACAAAGAGTAGGAATAAAGATTTGACAACTATTTAGAGAAAAATCCTGCGATTCTCGAATTTATTACGTCCAAGTAAGCGCAAGTTCTGATATTATCCAACAAATTGTATATCTAATTTCGCTGGTTTATGCGTGAATGCTTGTTTAGAGTATGCTAACAACTCTTATGAAAGTTTGTGTCTTCAAAAATCAGTTTTTAGATGAAACTAAGATGATAATATATAACTCAATTAAAATATGATCAGGAAGTGGAATAGAGACATTTTAAAACGAACCTTTGTAAGGTTCTTCGCCCCTGGTAAAGATAACGAAGCCCAAAATACCAAAAGCCCACACATCCGAATGGTGCGTAAAAGTTTTAGGATCCTCTACTAATTCAGGTGCAGACCAATAATCAAAAGGATACCAGTCTAAAAAGTGAAAAATGATTAAAAACGCAGGTTTAGCGGATTTCTACGTTAGTAAAGCCTGGGTTAAGTCTCAGAAACCTTTGTGAAAGATTCTCCCAATTACCGAGTCTAGAGAAGCAGAGACGTATAACCGATACGTTTATTCACTAGATACCGAAGGTGAACTGTGATCACGCCGGTAGCTTAATCATGATCAGGATGGCGAATTAGGATAAACAAACAGAGGTTAATGATTGGTCACTGTTTGTACGGTCGCACCTCCCAATCCTGGCGTGCAGGCTTGCGATGACGTGTTAAGCTATGATGTGTCCCACACAGGCATTAAAGAAAAAGTAAGGGTATTATCTGCTTTGAGGTATTAAAGTACAACTTTATAAAATTTATAGCCCTATTTATTTTAACGAAAAACGCGTACTCTATTCAGTCCACTTCTGAAATTTGCATACTCCATTTGCTGTCAAATTTAGTTATATAAGAACCACTGCTCACAAATAAACTTGGTTGCTTCAGTTAGATTAAAGCTATCACAAGTTATGAGCTTCGAATTGAAAAATCATGAGGGAAAATAACAGGCTTAATAAAATTATATTTAAGGGGCGTGCGATAGACTTACCTCCACGTGGTGCACCCTGGGCAACGTATACGTATACTGCAAAAAAGTCTATTAACTGGCAGTTAACTACGATAGACTTACCTCCACGTGGTGCACCCTGGGCAACGTACTTTCTTACGGCAAAAATTCTATCACTCGGCATTCGTTTTTCAATAGACTTACCTCCACGTGGTGCACCCTGGGCAACGTATATTCATACGGCAAAGTCTATTAACTGGTAGTTGACTTCTCCTATACTGCAAAAAAGTCTATTTATCGGCAATTGACTTCTGACTACAAACTACTATGACCTGACTGTCATATTCAACCCTTTCGCAGTACTCATCTCACCTTTTCTCTGCCTTTGTGTGTCTGTCTCTTTCACATCTGTTAATCATTATTCTGCCCCCCCCCGGCTCGACATTTTGTCACTTTGATGTTCCTCCTTCTCTCTGTGAAGCCCGAAGTCGGTTAAAGGGCTAATGATTACTATCAAAGCGCCTGCCATTTGAGACAAATAAATAAAATTATATTTAAAGAATATGCCTTTACGTTCAGGTGCCCTCTAAAGCAAATTGACGATCAATGTTAGGGTATTTAAGGCCGATCAAAGGGCTTCACAATTAACCAAAATGTGTACTTCTAAGAGCACGTAGAACAGTATGCACTTTAAATTTGAAGGCATTAAGTCATCTCAACGTACAAAAAATTTAGTTGAAGATATTGTTGGAGGGGATAATTACTCACCAACATAATTACCACTCAGTCTATGAAGCTTACTCTAGCACCTTTTATTTGAATCAATCGTTAATACATATTTTCTAATAATTAGTGTTTTAAGGCCTAGGTGGAAAGAAAGGCGATGTACAATTAGTTTAGATGTATGGTGCTCCTGGCATGAGATAATTAAATATCTTAAGAAAAATAGATAAAATAATTCAATCTTTTGACTGTGTAGCAATTTCTACCGGGTTTCTAATTCTCCAGGACACTTCCCCACTCTTAGCAGTTTCTGCTATTTCAATTGTATAAAAAACAATCTTTGTTGTATGTTCTATGGTATACTTATCGATATTCCTGTCAAAGGAAGACGCGAGTTCTCCTAGTAAAGGCCGAATGTTCCCACAATTGAGTTTGTGGGAAACACAATAGTAGCATGGATGAACCAAAGAATCTCGTGTACGTTCGTGAACACAGAAATATCCCAGCCAATCAATAACCGATAGTCAAACCATGGTCAATGACATGCAACACGAATAAGCGTATTCCTCGTTGTACGGCTAGTTTTCATATATGGTGGTGGGGGGGGGGGTATTATTTAGTTTTGCTTTAAATATTTGGGAGGACAAAGTCCAGATTTCTTCGTGTAGCAAATCTCTAATTGTAAGCCAAAACGCGTTTCATGTTAGTTCTCTTAAAGAAATGTAATTCTTAACATTCATTTAAAAATGGTGAAATGGAAAATTCACATTTCTTTTGATTTTTCAACGGAAAATATTTGTTAAATTTTACAGTTTTATGTTCAGTTGGATAAAGGAAAGGGGCTTTAATAGACTTCATGACTCTAATGATTTAAGAAAAGCTATTCAATAGAATTTGAAATACCTAATCAAAAACCTAAATCAACTTAGGAATGCGTTTCCGAACTCTTATAATGAAACCGTGATTGGACACTACACTTATTTGGATGTGAGTCGATTGGCGTCGTTGTAAGCGCACTTACCCTACATTGGCACCACGGAACCGCTCTTACTAATTCTACAATTTGATTTCTCTACAAATCTCCAAGTATGACTTTTGTATAGAATTATCTTTGTAAGTAATTCAGGAAGGTCTAAGGTCTCTATTCCGATAACCCAATCTTTTCTAAAATAGTTTTATCATGGTCATCTCAACACATCATTTTGTGTGAAATCAATTCTCAATTCACGCACAAAGACGTTGCCACGAGAAATGGCTGGAAAAAGAGTACACAAAATGAAAAAAATGGGAAAGAATGAAAAGTTTACTACCTGGTGAAAACTCGTTTGATTTTGCCAGTAATGATCGTATACCAATATCGATTATTTGAACTTTTCCTCTACTATCGCGCAAAATATGCTTGTCGTTAAGATCCGAATGCACGATTCCATGACACTCCAGATATTCCATTCCTTCTGAAATCTTCAATACATAAAAATAGGACTGAAAAACATTCATCGTGTATCATCAGACTCTGTGAAGAGAAAGATGAGGAAAAGAAAGGGGAATGGAAAAAAGAACCTAAACTTTGAAAAGAAACTGCTTTGAGGAGTAAAAAGGGGTGGAGTTCTCCACAACAACCTCCCTCCTTCCTGGTCCCCTAACTATAACCTCTTAGAAGTGAACACTTTCTCCCCACAGTGAAGTGGCACTTCCTATCTGTTTGGACATTTCTCCATAGCAAATAGTTGCAAACCAAAAATACATAAATTAAATAAGTGGCTTGAGCCTTAAATAAGCTCCATTGAGCACCCCTAACTTATGAGTTTATCATCCTGGCAGAATCTTAGCCAATAGAAGTACACATGCATTAATACGGAAGTAGATTAACGCGTTAATAATGGGGCATAAATTTATTTAGCCAACCAGGTGATAAATCGAATTAAATGAATTTCTCAACTTTTACTTGATCACCTCAATTCTTATTCCTCATTGGACTACTTAAGGGAAGGGTTCATACTGCCAGGAGCAGTAATGAGGTGAAAAGAACACAATTAACAATTTCTTACCTCGGTATACATTTTCAATAAATCGTTCAACTTTAAAGAATAAAAGCCAGCACAGGAGAAAAATTCTTTCAGAGTTATGCCTTCAAACGGATCCATTATGATCATAATCATAGTAGAACTGACGGATGTCCATTGGTAGGTAATTTCAAGTGTTCTAACACAGACAGGATGATTAACACTTTTGAGATACTGGATATCTCGAAGTAGCGTAGATATAGGGGATTCTGGTTTCAAATTCTTTACTACGACCTCTTTGCTCTTAAAAGTTCCGTGATAGACATGAGTAAAGTGACCCTCGGTAATGATTTCTTTTAAAGTTGGAAATTCTCCGTAAGGTATTAGCCGATTATAGGCCGAATCAATAGGGTTTGCTAAAATAATCAACTCATAGTTTGCAACAAATTAAAAATACCCGAACAGTGTTCAATTAAGTCGGTTAATCGATCAAAAGGAAATTGCCCTTCAATGCAGTACTGATTCGATTTGTTCGGATGGATTTCATAGACTTTGACGAATGGTTTATTGTCAGTTCTTATCATTAAGGCCAGTCCATTATTAGCTAGCAGATCAAAATTCATTATGTTTTGTTGTTAAAAAATAGAAATGGCAATAAAATTCTATACCTGATTCAGAACAAAGAATAAAGTTGCCGGTTTCGACTTCAGGTTGGGAAAGAAGGGAAACAGCTTTATCTCTCTTAATATCTCTAAAAGCGGTCAAAATAAAAGATCGTTCATGTTTGTCTGTAACATCCGAGGCATTAACATAACCTCGACATTTTGTAAAGATATTTTCAGCTGGAAGTGTTAAGCCAGTGGTGCTCAAAGGAACTCGAAGAATATCTCCTCGTCTGATTTGAAATTTGGAAGATTCCCCATCGTTGATCACACACACATGGCAATAAGTAATATTCGATGACTTTAAGATTACAAAATTTGTTTATTAAAATAAAAAATAGTATATATATATATATATAACATGTTTCAAGGGATCCACTGCAGCCCCACCCGTTTTGAGGCATAGATGTTGTCGTAACCACTCCTAAATATTAAATGCTTCCATTAAAATACATATTTTTGATAATTTAAAATGAAATTTAAAGCATCTTGAAATAGCTTAAATATTCTGTATTATTATTTAAAATAAGAAAATATGTATTGGAATCTTAAATGAACTAAAACACATACAATAATGAAACCAGAAACGAATTGATATAAATAACTAAATCAACCAAATAATAACAGCAATATTGAATACGAGGCGACACAAAGAACTTCCAGATCTCAAATTGTTTTCAAGTCTAGATGACCTTGAATATATAACGATAATGATTAATTACTATAAAAGTAAAACAAAATACATTATAATTTAAAATAAAATTTCACCTCGATATATTTATAACTAATTCCAAATATTAAGTGGAAATGAGTTCACTAAGTAATTTCTTTTTTTAATGTCTATTAAGTTCGAATATGAAACAAAAGAACATAAGTGTTTATTTTTATCACCTCGCACTCATTAACAGAATACTTCTTAGATTTTTCCCTAGAAAGCATGCATATTAACTAAGCTGGTCTGTTGTTTAATGCTTTGAGCACGATTTTATTTTGAAATAATTTTATAAATCTCCAGTATTTATTCTTCTTGAGTTGAATAGATAGACACTCATTTTTATGGTTAACGTAAGTACTTCCTGTAGTAAGTTAATTTTCTATAAATTGAACCACTTTCCCTCTTGAAATGGTCAGAAAGGCCTAAAATCTATTGAATTGGGGAAGAAATATAGGGGCCTTTTGGAGAACCTGTGAAGTTTGTAAAGAGGTTATTGTAAACTGTCTAAACCGTCGACAACGCTATTGGCAGAAGATAAAGTTTGTGGCAAAAATATTAAAAGGTATAAAACCTTAGAATTTTGTGATATAATCGATTTAAGAAATAGGACATCGTATCTAAGATTAGTGTTGGATAATGAACCGGTTTCAGATCTGTTAGCCCATGACTAAATCTGACTTAATTGCCTTCGAGAGCAGTGTATTAACTAGTGCTTACAACTGTTAATGCTCGAATATATAAGAAAGATTCAAACCATGTCTTGCAAATATGTTTTGTTAATTAAAAATCAATTGGAGTTTTCAGCTCCTAGTCATTTTCGTTCGTTTAAATAAACTAATTCATGATAGAGACCCACTAGGTGGGAAGGGCCATAAGCGATGGGAAGTCTTGATTCTCTTCCATTTTGCATTATTTGTTATTAAATCTAGTCATATGATTCAGTTTGTTTTTTTACTTATCTGTCCAAAGAAGTAACGAAGAAGTTAATCTCTTTGGATAGTCTCTAGCTATCAATATGATGGTTTGATTGCGATCAAAGGGCGGATTAGTACCTTTTGGTAGGCTATACCAGAGAACAATTCAGATGGCTTTTTTATTAGAATGTTTGATAACAATGTTGCCTTACAACAAGATTATTTATCAGTCAAACGTAGAGCTTAGATCACCGCAGTACAGCTACGAGTCACTACTGATGCCTGGTTGAACGAGTTAAAACTAAATTTGACTAAATAAATTTGAATTAATTAATTAAATAACATAATAAGTCAAAGATTACTCGAATAGAAGAGTTTTTAGTCAGTATTATGAATAAATAAGTGAGATAGTAAGTTTGAAGGTCTAATTTTTGATTTATAATTGGGAAAATTTAGTCAAAGATCGGGCATTATTGGCCAGATTCTGTCAAATTCAAATAACTATGAACCAGTAGTTTACAACATAGTGCTGAAAGACGAATCGATATGCGTTTTCAAACTTATTATTTGGGCCATCACTAAATGTGAGATTTTAGTATTTCAAATTCAACATATTTCTTGAGTGTTTAACCATACTGATTACCTAAATAGCGCATAAGAAAACATTGTGTGTTTGCAAAGTTTCAAATTATCTGTTCGACCTAATTAAGCGGTCCGTGAATGTGTGCTACTAAAGTTAAGCTTCCTCGATTAGCGATATCCAGATATATTCAATCTATTTATAGTATTAATAATACAGTCTGCCTTTTACGCTCAATGAAAGAGTCGGTCAGACACAATCGTAAATGTTATAGTTTCACTTAGAAGTTGTCATTTACAGTTCATTACTTTCAGCAAATATCTGCTTCCCCAAAAGTATTTTGTTCATTCACAAAACTGATCGTTAAGAAAGTGCAATATGAAATTTTACAGAATTTACTTTTTTGGGACGACATTGAAATTAATATTACGAATTTCCGGGTTAGGTTAAGCAGAAAATATCCGGGACGAACTTAATTAAAGCACTTACAATCTCATGAGCCCAAGGATACCAGAAGGATGAGCGCTAGAAATAGTGATTATTAAATGGTACTGCCAATTATTTTGCCCACAACCTACTGTTCTGCGTTCATGTTTATGTGTTTGATTGATTTTTACAATTGCTTAGCTTTATAAACTTAGTGACGACCATTAAATGAAAATAAATATATACCTACAAATGATTACTGCAGTAATTAATACTTTATTGAAGTTCACTAATGATATGATTAAGCCTACTTTCTTGCCTATGATTATAAATAAAAAGTTTGAATAAAGGTTTCGTACATAAATTTAATTTTAGAATATTCTTGATGCTGAAAGTGTGCAATATTTTTAATATGATTCATATTGCCAAACGAAATAACTTTATTTTTGGTTCCAAGTCGTCAAATTATTTAATGGAAGACTAACTAATGCCGCTCACATTTAGCTCTCACGCATAACTCAGAAGGAATAATTTTGCAATGATTTAAGAAATACTGAATACCTAAAGCAAGCGTATTAGTTAATTAGTCATTGGTTTATAGAATAGGAAATATATAGTTAAAGTATATATCTCGACGAAAGTACAACCTTGAAATAACTTCTGACTGCTTTAAAGCGCCTGTGGTCCAGTTCGTACGTTTTCTGATCCGTTAGCCCACTTCTTTTTCCTAATTTTCGGAATTAAATCTTTTGCCCCATTTATTTGATCAATTAATTTAATGACTTATTTTGCAAATATTTTGTCTAATGAATCAGTTTTATATTATTACGAAGTGCATACAATAATATTTTTGTATTATGTCTATGAAGACAATGCCATTTCTGAGGAGAATTTTAAGACCAAGACATCGTAAGCAATGCGGTACAGAGAGCCAAATCATTGCTGATAAATTGGAGGAAATGTGAGCCATTGTCAATTTTATTGTAACTTAACCCTAAATAGCACCTATTTCCCTGCAGTAGCTGTTTATGACTTCGCAGCATCTAACGACAATGAACTGTCATTTAAATGTGGCGATATATTATTGCTCTCAGGGCCCCTTCTTGAAAACTGTTGGGTGGATGCTCTGGATTTTCGTTCCCAAAAAACTGGACTTGTTCCCTCCTGCCTTCTTACAGATGAATCCGGTAAATCGCAAGCACTCGATGCCTTTCAAGTAACTGATCGTAAAGGCGCCGAATACCAACTGTTACTCCCAATAGTTAAATTAGGAACATTTATTCTCCGCATCGATCATAGTATGCAATGGATAATATTTTTCACACTTTTAACTTTTTCTCTAAAATAGATCACAGCTTATTATCGTTGTCGGTGCTGAGGGAATACGATACTCATAGAAAGGTCGATCATTTTCAAGTGCAATATGATGTGCAAGGTGGGACCTATTTTCTCGACAGAAATGAAACGTTTCCTTCGCTTGACGAGATGATAACTGCATATCAAAGTAAGCCGTCAGATATAGATATAAATGACGTCATTGATGCCTCTTACCTATTTAGTCTGTGCTTACCTGATTAAATCTGACATCTCTAAGTGATATATTTTTATCTTTCGGGTGGTGCTTGACTATAATCAAAGTCAATGCACTGGGTGCTTTCTCTTCGTGCCTGTCAATAATTTTCTTTCCTGTTTTCATACTTAGAAATATAAAATAAAAGACTTGTTTTTCTTAGTGTCATTAATTTTGTTAATATTCATTTGTTCAGTTTTTATTTACGATGATTGTGCAAGTGAGCTTAGTTAAATCCTTCTCTTGAATAATGTTGATTAATTAAAAAAGAATAATTATAAGGGTTAAGAGTTTTAATAATTTTTTTATTTTATTCTAACTTATATGAATATTTAATCATGCATTTATGGGCTTGAAGGTAATTATTTTTGGCACCTTGACTTATCGCGTTTTCATCAAATAACTATCTCTTTTTACACTTGACAAATTTTATTGTCCTAAACATGCCGTTTTGGGTTTTAAAATTAAGTAAGGTTATAATAATACGACAAATTTTGAATTTTAGATCCCAGTAATGAATCCTCTTCACCTCTCTTAACCACACCCTGTCTCAAACCAAATAAAAATGTTGAACAATTCAACAACTGCTTGATAAGTCGCGAGAGTATAGATCTAAAAACCAAAATAGGTGAAGGCAATTTTGGAGAGGTTTGGAAAGCAGAATATCGAGGCGCTAGAGTAGCGGTAAAAATAGCTCGAGTAGGAACGGCTGAAAAGGATATGGTGAAGGAGGCGTCTACAATGTCCAAGTTATACCATCCAAGGTTGGTTCGATTTTTGGGGGTGTGTTGCGAGCCTCTTATGCTTGTAACTGAGTACATGGAAAATGGTTCATTAGAAAATTACTTAAATGTCGTGAAGCCCGATCACAGCGAGCAATTGCGCATCTTATTTATGGTAGTTATAATGATTACATTAATTTTAATTTATGTAGGCAGTCATTTTACTTTCTCCCATTTTCTAGGTAAGCGATGGCATGAAGTATATTGAGAAAATTGGAGCTGTGCACAATGATTTAAGATCCGCGAATGTACTGGTGGATTCGGATAGATCTGTAAAAGTAGCTGATTTTGGATTGTCGAAAATCCTTCATCATGATTTTCGTGATAAATGCTGTAGGTACTAAAAGCTTATTTGATCTTCTTCGTTAATTTGATAGCTGGGATATTCCCTATTCGTTGGACGGCAATAGAGTCAACAAGCATTGATTCGAGTTATTCCATTAAAGCAGACGTGTGGTCATTTGGCGTTCTAATGTGGGAGGTGTTTACCTATGCAAGGTATCCATACGAAGGTAACTCCAACGATTTAAAATAAATAATTCCACCTGCTTATACATAATGAGTAGAAACGATTTTATAGATATAGAAAATGATGATGAAGTGATTGTGGAGATTCTGAAGGGCAAAAGACTGAAGAAACCGAGAGACATGGGATTTAAATGCGATGATGAATTTTACGCAAAAATGGAAGATTGCTGGACTCTCAATCCCCTATTCAGGCCTTCATTCAAGGAACTCTACTCATACTTTGAAAGGAAAATATCACAAGACTTATAATCCACTCCTCATTTATTTCTTTCTTACTCTTGCTTCAATTGCTTTTCTTTATTAATGATTTATCAGTATTTGAAATATAAAGAAAAAAAACTATTTAGTCAGAGTGTATGTCTTTAAGTTTAAAATTTTCATTGAAGTCCTTGGTACTTGCAAATTTTTTTAAGCAATTCACTTTATGAGTTAGAGTTATCAGAATTTAAATCTAACTATGATTAGACTATCGCTGTTCTGAATGTAAATTTGCGATTATGGAAAAGTCAATGCGACTGCAAATTGGTACACTCTACTGTAATGCACAAATTTTGGTTAAACACCCAGTAGAATTTTTTTGTATGTCTAAAATTAATTGAAGACGCTGATGACATTTCTGCTGTTTCTCGGTTAACTTCCTGTTTTATTTTCGCCCCAAACAACGAATTGCAGCTTGTTGACTTTTATGGGCGTTGGTGGCTTTTCTCAATCCAAAGTTATTTTTGCACTTATGTTCCAATTGAGATAAATTTAAGTCACCTTATTCGTTCATTACGTAACCTTGATTTCCAGCAACATTTAATTAAATTAGGATAGTGATTATCCATTTGTGATTTAATTTCCAAATTTAAGCATACACTATTCAATTTTCGCTTTTTATCCACCCCCCCCCCCCAAAAAAAAATGGAATTATAAATGGGTAAAAAAAGCAATAAATCGATTTTTTTAAAATAAAGTAATAATTTGCCCATCTTTGTTGTGATAATTGAATTCGGTGTTACTTCTCATCGGTGCTTTTAAGGGCTCATTTAAATTATCTTTTGTGTCTCCTATATTTTGGATTATTATTGATTTCAAGTGATTTATTTTTTTTTCTAAAAAATCGAAGTTCTTACGACAATTTACATCATATCATTCATTATAATCCGCTTTAGAGTTTGATAAAATTAATAACGCGACGGATTAAGGCATTACCGTGACCATTGCTATAAATACAATGATAAATTATTTTTGGTCTACTTAGAGCACATTGCTTGCTCATAGAAAAGTGGCAAGTACGTGAGGTCTTATCTTTCAGTCTAGGAAAATTTGCACAACATATTAAAATAGGGCTAGCACTCAATGCTTTGTACTTGAAATCAATTGTTTTTTTGAGTACTTGATTCAATTTCGCTTTACCCAACAGTACAATAAGCGACATTTTGAATGGTTAAAGAGTTTGAGATAGAATTTTTTTATCTTTTTATCTTCTTCTTCTATCGGAGGAGTTGAATGAACAATGAAAGGGATCAGTTATTGAAGGGCAAATGTTAGTTCAAAATAAAATGAAATATACCCGTTAAACAAGTGGCGGATGATCCAATAAATCAAGCATTTTGACCGATCAGACCCTTCTCTGGGTTTATGTCAATTTTAATCTACCAATGTCTACTTTCTATCAGTAGAAAAGCAAAGAATTCTCGTTTAGGCTTCATTTTATCTAACACCTTTACAGTATGCTTTTAGTGTCAATTCTGACCCACTGATTACGAAGCAACTGCCTTTTTCTTATAATCTCGCAATAGGAATTCACTTTCACAGCAAGGTTTCCATCCACTCATGTTGTGGCAATCATGCACTGCATTCTTGAAGTAAGTCTTGAAATGGTGTAAAAATGCCCATGAGCGGCTTTTCTACTTGTCAAAATTGGCCTCTTTGAGATTATTGCAGCAATAAAGTATAATTACTGTGTTTAGTTAAAATTTGACAAGATCTTGTTTATTTTATCTCAGTGACCTTGAAATAGTAAGGTAAAGGACTTTTCAGATTTCTTGACGCCTCTAGAGCCTAAGCTTGTTTCTTCCATTTACGAGGATAATTAATCATTTTATCGAATGACGAAAGCGTTTGCAGATTGCTGATTGCGTTGAAAATGGTGAAGTGATGAGAGATGCATTTTTTTGTATGATTATGAGCAGAAATGCGCGTGCTTTACTACTAACAGTTAAGTAGCACACTCACATGCAACCTATCAGATTGAATCCGTTTGTGTCTTGCTAATCTAACCGCCGTTGTATACCGGCATTTACCTTGAATAGCGGCATAATAATTGAGGACAACCGTTAATTTTAAGGGAAATTGTGGTCGTAACTTGAATTAAAATAGGCAAAAAATGGCATCTTTTGATAAATTATTGCAGATTTTTGAACCTTTAAGCGGAGTTGAATTAATTCTGTCTGCACGCATTGGCAGAGAACATTTAGGTTAGCGTTTGCTTGTGCTCATCTTGGGAGGATGGATAAAATGTACTATTTTGGCATAACACATATCAACCAATCAGTTATTTGTTTAATTAAATCCAATCTAATTAATACGCAACTGTGGAATTATCGCAATAATTGTGACAATCATGGTGAATTTTCTCATTTTCAGTACAGTACGCTGTTAAACAATCAACTTTTAAAGCCCACCCACTTTGGAAGAAAATGTCTTCTGGTGGTTATACAAGTGATATGGAAAATTTCACTTCAAAGGTTTTATATAAGATGTCATTTTGAAGAATTAAATCAACCAGCCAAGTTATTTATTGCATTAGGAATATATATATATATGAGCAAAAGGGACTCAATGGAGGTGAAATCTGATAAATCAAGGAGAGGATTGTTATTTTACCATGCAATACCATTATTGATTCACAGTGGTGGAATAACCTTGGCTAAAAATAGAAGGCCAATGAGAGAAGGAGCTATTATTTCAGATAACTACTCCCAGTTGGGTGTTAAATAAACTAGAAGCGTACTGTGGAATATACAATATGGGAATAAAGAATTAAGTGAATTAAACATATGAAACCTGTATCTATTGTAAAATGACAGGCTCAAATTTATCGATTTGATAGTTTTCAATGGCTCTTTAGTTGACTTCTGGCTTCACAGAAAGAAAGGAGCACCAGAGGGACAAAAGTCGAGAGGGAGAACAGAAGTGTGATTCACAGATGTGAATGAGACAGACAGACACAGAGGCAGAGAAAATGGTAAAGTAACGTGAGTACTGTGGAAGTGGTCTGATATGACATACTGTCAGGTAATGGTAGTTTAAAGTGAAAAGTCAACTGCCGGTTAATAGACTTTTTGCTGTATGAGTATACGTTGCCCAGGGTGCTCCAAGTGGAGGTAAGTCTATCACTCACCCCGACCCACTCAAAGTAATTATCATTCAATACGATCCACCTTAAGGAAACATTTAGGCAATTGGGAGTGGGAATTCTGTCTACTAAGGACCCAATGAACCTAATTTTTCTCCCTTTAAATTAAGCGCCTATACAATCACTTGCCTGAAAGGTGTAATCTCTATGCCCGGTTTCCGAAGTTACAGTGAGATGTTTCATCACTTGTCGATGGCTTATACTGATGTGGGCTTCAATCGTACTATTTCAGTTTGATTTCTGCGTTATCCACTCCCAAGTATGGCCTTTCCAAATGCACTCTAGCACCTCTTTATCAGGACTCCACTGTTTGTTTATTTCCCATATAAATTTACCCCTTCTACTAGTCCTAAACACAATTAATTATTGTTTGATTGCATAGTAACAACTGTGTGGCTTTCTATATCAGAGGGGGAGAGAGAGAGTATGTGTGCAAAACTTAATGAATTTGCGTTAGCGAACATTTTTTTGAGCAGGGGTGGGCGATAGACTTACCTCCACGTGGTGCACCCTAGGCAACGTATACTCATACGGCACAAAAGTCTATTATTCGGCAGTTGACTTCTGACTCCAAACTCCACTGTATGTCATATTCCACCACTTTCACAGTACTCACCTTACCTTTTTCTCTACCTCTATGTCTCTCTGTCTCTTTTACATCTTTGAAACACTCTTCTGCCCCCTCCTCCCCTTTCGACTTTTTGTCACTTTGATGATCCTCCCTCTGTGAAGCCAGATGTCAACTAAAGGGCTAATGATGACCATCATAGCGCTTGTCATTTGATATAAATAAGCTTTTGAGCATCTTTAGCCAATCTCTGGCCGAACTTTTCAGTCTGAATTATCTCAAATAGACCATGTTCTCTGTGTTCATATATTTCCTATTGATCACACTTTATTAAAGTTTTTTTCCATGTCTTGAGTAAAAGTATTATTTATCGGAAGTGTGGGCGATATTCAATATTTGTGCAGCATTTTAAATCTTCGGACTACTGAAAGAGATGACTTTTTGGGATTTTTTTCTTAACTTCCAATTTACAAATATTGGCCAGTTGAAATCAGTGCTATTCATTTGACATTCCCATGTGTAATTTTGTCGCTTTTCATTCGATGCTTGGGAAATCCGATTTTTAACTTAGAAAGTTCACTTTTATACTGACACATATATACACATATTATTTACATTATCACCTCAACTGAACTAGCTGTTTATCCCTTAACATTAAATAATAATATGTTAAAGTACTTTTGCCATGGAACAAAATTTATCGTGCTCAAATTTAAGTACTCTCATGAGAAGTGTAGAAAAGGAGAATGCTGTTTTAACTGTTATAACTAGGAATTGTTAAAGAAATTGGAAGTACTTAGAGAAGTTTCAATTCTGCTTTGACTTTCAGAAGAGAAGCCTTAGGCAGATCTACTTTTAATTGTATTTTAATTAACACTGATTATTACCAATTGGTGATATTAATGTTGCGAAGTTTTAGAGGCAATTATGATAATAACTGGGGTGTGCGATAGACTTACCTCCACGTGGTGCACCCTGGGCAACGTATCCTCATACGGCAAAAAGTCTATTAACCGGCAGTTGACTTCAAACTACCATGGCCCCCCTGTATGACATATTCGACCACTTCCACGGTACTATATCACATTTTTTTCCAAATTTTTAACCTTCGTCTTTGAAACAACCAAAGTCAACTAAAGGGGTTTACAAAGACAGCCGCCATTTACAATGACCAACCAACTTAGGTACTTATAAAATGATGTTTAAAGAGCAAAGTGAAAAAATTCACGATATCGATCTCAATGAAGTAAAAGAAGGGCCGGGGGGGGGTGGCTGGGTGAGTGGGTGGGAAGTATTTATCACATCTTCATTTTGAAGAGAAAAGTTGAGGTGAGAGTAAAGAAGAAAGTGTGCTTTCTGTGGGAAAGATAAATATACAAGGCAAAATAGAGGAGAGGCATTCGAACATTACTTGTACGTTGATATGTTAAGACTTGCAGCAAGGAGTTGTTCTGCACTTGGAATGGATGAGGTTCTATTGAACTCCGAGAGTCCACCAGCATTGTTCTTTGGTAATCCTGTTGGCTGCTGTATATTCTGTGGAATTGACGATGGAGTTTGTTGAGAACTTGAAGTCGATTTCAGTCGTCTTTGCCGAGATTTCGGAGGATAGTAACCATTTCTGGTGAAGAAATACAAATCATCCATTTCGTCGTACATTTGATCTAATTCATCAGGAGTAAGATCGCTCCCGGGTCCGGCTCTGGGGTCACGTCCTGTCTCCGCATACATCGCCTTCGCTATAGCAGGAGTAATCTCATATGTTTGAAGAACTCCAGCTTTCAGACGATTCCATAACTCTCGTCCAACACTCTCATTCTTTCCTGCAGTTGAAACTATTCGCGGTTTGTTGGTTATATTCTTGAGGTAAACGAGAAGATATTCCAAAGAATCACGAGGATGAGCCATGGAGATGAAATTTATCGTCCGATTTCTATGACCGAAAGCAAGACGCTGGTACCTATCGTCCTCAGTGAAACCAATCTGAAAGAGATGATCTTGGAGAAGAGTTGGAGTAATGAGAAAAAAACGATCTGGTGCATCCACAGGAGCAACAATCATAATATCACCTCGAAGCAAGCCCCTTAAACGAATGAAACTTTTATCGGTGAAAGTAATACCAGGCACTGTGGGAAAAATATTAACGGGTTTAGATGATTGAGCTGTAGCGTAGTTAGTAGAGTCTAAATCTAAACTCAAACTGCTTGATTCAATACCTCCCAGAGGTATTTTGCGTTCTGGGACGGCAACGGGGACTATTGAAAGAGGGAGACGAAATTTTCGAAGAAGTGAAGATAGTGTATGCACTCCAGATATATTCTCCGGACCTGCGATAGGACTCAGGGCTAATTTAGTTGGGAAAACAGCCTGACTTGAGGAATCTTCTGTTCCGATATAGAATAATCTCCTGGGTGATGTTAGTGCATTTGACTGTCTTTGCATGCGTGACTTTTCAACGGCCAAAATTAGGGATATTTGTCTTAGCTTCTTGCCCCGGGTGACTGTGCAGTCGTGGAGGAAGTCGACATAAGTTAATAGAGTCCCAGGTTTGAGTATGAAGGGAGTACTAGCTGCAATATTTTTTGAGTTAGCCGCTTCAACAACGATTCTGGAAGAGATTGGAGGTAGAGGTGGAGCTCCATTATTGTTTGGAGTCGAAGCCAAACGCTCAGATGATTGAGGCGGTAACCAGAGATCGCTAGGAGCTAGAAGGCATTTCAAATCCCGACGGACGAGAAAGGCTTGCGGTTTAGCGCATCGAATTTCTTCCACAGTTGTCCAGTGGGGCACGGGTTCGTGATTTTCATTCATCACTTCATACCATCCACGACACTGTCGGAACATAATCAAATTAGCTTGAGTTTCGGATGATGGCCCAGAGGAATGACCATGTTGAAGTCGGGAAAGGAAATGAGATGCAGAACGAGAGCTAGATGAAGAGGAAAAGGATTGACTTTCCTTGATCTTTTCCCACGTTGCCTCACAAAGAACAGTATCAAATAAGGGAAAAAGCATCAATGTATCATGCCCACGAAGTAAACAACGACAGGACTGGCGTTGGCAGAAAGCTCGAACAAATTCCGTATTTGGAGGGGCAAGGCCTCGACGAATTTTCGGAAGGATATCAACCAGGGGTTGTGGCGGGTCTGATGACCATCGTACGCCTGCTCTCGATTGTGATATTTGCGAGGTTTGAATGTAGGATCTATGTACCATATCAGATACATCTCTATCATCTCGAACAAGTTTATCATCAAGGCTTTTTTCCTGGTCGCCATAAGTTTCCTCATCCGTCGCCTCATCTGAATTACTCCTGTCATTGGAATCTTCTTCTTCCTCATCGAAAGTTTCGATAGTCTTTGAGGAAAGTCTCTCAGCGCTTGGAAATCGATTTTGTGAATCAGTTCCAGTTTCAAAATCCGCATTTTTAGCACGCTGAAGACTTTGCCTTAGACGCTGATTGTGGGTATCATTAAATCCTCGAAAGCCCGAATTCGTTATCTCCTTTTCGTCCGTTTCGCTCTCGCTGGAAACGGCTGTTAGGTCACCAGGTGGCTGAGCAACACGAGGAGATGCCGCAGGGGGCCAGAGTAGATCATTTGCTTCAGACTTTGAGGACGGGACAAGATTAGACGAGCTATTGGCACGAGCAGCCAGATTGTTCCAGGGATTTGAATTCTCACTACCCATAGCGTTAGATGAGAGATTTGTGCCATCATTTGAACGGGAATCCGTTTTTCGATTATATCGCTGATTACCACCAGCGAGCCTCTTGTAGAGTCGCTCAGCTGATTCAAACAAATTTGGCATTTTTGTGTGGCTTTCCTTTGTTTTAGTGCGACACCTACAAGAAGGAAGTTGACAAACACGCATACGCGTAATATATTTACTTATTTAAAATCGATCCAATCTAAATGCGATTATCCTAAAGTTCACTAGTTAATGTTGTGTTGACCTTGACTACTTGGTAACAATACTATATATGTATATATATATATGAGCCATGACGGGATTTGTATGCAATTTTATGTTCAAAAACGCAAGCATGACCTACAATGTGCGGTGAAATTAAATATCTACAGACAAATTTTGCATGAATAATCACAGAATCAGGTGTGCGAATTGTGGGATCTGTCACAATTTCCCCCACCCCTACCCTTTTCTTTAAACTTTATCATGTGTATAAATTACAAGTATTTTTCGCTCACTGCTAGGGAAATTAAATTAGTGGACTAAATATAAAATTGGTATAAATAATCTGCATAATTTGTCAATACCATGACAATCAACTATTCTTCTCGAGGGCAGTTTGGTTTAGTTCATCAAAAAATATGAATATGAATCAATATAAAGCATGTACGAGTGCTTTTAAGGCGAGAGCGTTTTGCTGTTGTGAAATCATGCTTTGTCATTGTATATTTGGTATGAAATGTGGAAGAGGTATTCCCACAAATATCTTGGCCTTAAGTAAACTCAAATAGAGACCGATATTCAAGTAGGTAATGAGTACAATCAAATAATAAAGACCACTAGTTATTGTTTTCTTATTAAATTTACTGATGTTCAGTAATCTTTGTTTTATTTATGCAGATTAAGAGTATGATCTTTCCTTATATTTAGTATAAATATATCGGCTAATTAAATATCATCAAGAGTAAAATATGTTGCTTTAATTGATCCACAATATTTGTTATTTTATATCAATAGTTAATAAACACGCGCTCTCACCAAATGACAGAAAACATTCAATAACCTAACAGAATAAAAATCGTATAAGAATATGGAAAATCGTCATTTTCGCTTTAATAATGAATAGTTACAATGCGTTTTTAAATACTCTAAGTAAGCGTGATAATCGATCAACAAGAATGAGTGAGTAATATGCACGCATTTGCAATGTCTTAACATGTGGGAGGGTTTGCATATAAAGAGAAGCTTGGAACATGTGATCATCTCAAGGAAGAAATCACAAATAATTGATCTGACCTTCTTACTTATTAAAATGAAGCATCTGTGGATTACACAAAAATATAAATCCGAATTCCTAAGATTTATAGAGGATTCTTATATAGAGGATATTTAGACTCACTGCAACTGAAATTAAAATAAATGTACCACATAAATTTACCAAGAAATATTCTAATTTTCAATGAAAAAGGTATTTTAATTCTATTATATTATAAGAGAGGAAAATCAGGAAGTATAATAAATAAGATTATACTAATGCAAAATTGAAAATACATTAACAAAATTGCATCAAATTAGCTTGAAATTAGTAGTGTTATGTACATTCGATAATCAGTATGAAACGAAATCTCAAAATACAACGCATTTCAACTGCAATTAAATTGAGCTGAGACAATAAGTGATGTGATGCGATGAATAGCTAGGTCTTTCGTGGATCATTATGAAATTTGCTATTGATTAAAATCCATATTGATACACATTCATCCAACGGAAAAAGACACAAATGCTTTATAACTCCACAATAATACCTCAAGTTGTAAACAAACATATGCGTTCAAACGGCAAAGAATATATTTATTTTTTTACCATTTTCGAATAAAAACATTTGATGAAATATGAAATAATATACAAAGAAAAATGATCAATTTATTTGTTAAAGTAATGACTTAATCATTTATATAAAATGGCAAATTTTGATTTATAAACCATAAATAGAGCTTACTTATTATACTCTACGTACTATAAATCAAATCCTAAAATAGAACGCAATCTGCTTCCTTCAGAGGATTTGACCATTGCGCTGTTATTTTATCAAAGTAAACAAACCAAGACCTTGGGACTTCACAAGAAGAGTAATAACCTCATCTTATTAATATTACTTAATGAAAAATATGTTTGTGATCTTTTAACTAATTCATTCGTACTCTTACGAACTAATAGTTCATCATTGACGTAGCAATAAACAGGCTTAACTTCATTGATCTAAGGAAAAATGTTAAACGAGGTTAGATAAAAAAATTATTTCTCATTTTTAGGCTTTTTTACACCTGTATGTGCAAAAGTTTTAGTTTTCATGATTATAAGATACTTATTTCTGCCTTACTCTTACCTTTTCGAATTTCAAACATTAAGTGATCAAAAAGCAATACAAGGAAAGCATTCAACACCCAAACACTTTTTATTTATCAATCTGTATTTTAATATTTTGCTCTTTTTCAGTAAAACGTTGCCTCTTATGCGAGCTGTATGTCATTAAAGGATAAAAAGTCAGATCAAAACACTGCAAACAATGAATTAAATAGCTCTTCCAAATTAATAAAGTTTTGCCTTGATTCAATATGGTTAATTAAGATTTCGATTTACAATATTTTATTAATCAAAATTTTGAAAATACCACCATTAACTTGAGTATTCTACATGTCCGAATATAAAAAAATTTGGCCTTAAATAATATAATTCAAATTTAATAACTGAGGCCTAACCTTGATGATTAAGGTTCAATTTGGTTTCGTGCCTGATTACTGCTAAATTATGCCAGTTTATAAAGGTTCAAAGATTTTTCTTGTTACCTTTTAAAACTTTTAGTTTTTGTTAAATGGCGAGCCCACAAGTTTGATAATATCGAAGTCGACACGAATGTTTCACCATTAGAGTTCAAAAAGGCGTTAAAGGATTTAACGGGTGTTCCTGAGGAACGACAAAAAGTATTTATTTCGGGTGCTGTTCTCGGCGACGAATCCTTCGACGGAATTAAAATCAGAAATGTGCAAAGCTTTTTGTTCTGTTTAAACTGCTTCTTTAGGGCTGTCAAGTCATGGTTATGGGCACTAAGGAGGAGCTACCAAAAAGTATCACATTTAAACCTCCTCCACATGCACGCGAGGCTTCAACGCAAGCAAATGCAGAGCCCAAATTGCGACTTCCTATAGGATTGGTCAATTTTGGTAATACTTGTTATATGAATAGCGCTGTACAGCTCCTCTATGCCATTCCCGAATTCAGAGCCTTTGTTCAGAGGTAACGTTTTCTTTTTTATCTACTCTATTTCTCTTTAAGGGCACCTGTAGCCTCACTGAATGTTCTAAGTGCAGAAGTTAGGGCGGTTTTCACAGCAATCCGGCTTATCTTTACCGGTTTATCTAACGCTGAAGAAGCCATTCTGCCAGTCACTCTCGTTGATGCATTCGGTAAAGCTTATCCCCATTTCGGTATCCAAACGGATATTCTCGGATCGTTGGCTAAATCAAGCCAAATTTTCGAGCAACAGGATGCGAATGAATGTTTCCTGGAATTTATTCGCTTGCTACAGCAAATTAAAGCTGATGCAGCTGTTTTCAAAGCTCATCCTATTGTAATTTTTGATATCGCAGCAGATAACCAATCTGATGCTTTTTCTCTTTTAACTATTTCATTTTACTCTTCGTTAGCTGCCTCCTAAGTCCTTCGGCGAAGACAGTGGTTGGAACCCTGTTGATCGTTTCCTCTCAGGCAAACTAATGAATACAATAAAAAATGAGGAGAATGAGGACGAACCCCTACAGTACACTACTGAAACTTTTCTTCAGCTCTCGTGCTATATCTCGCAAGGTATGCATTATTTTCCTTTTCTAACTGATCCGAAGTTTGTTAACAGAGTTGTAGACAAGTAATTTTAACTTAATCTGAACAATATATCTTTGTTCTTAAGACTTCAGTTTTTCTATTTGTCTTTAGAGCTTAATTTAAACTATCATTGAATTGAATCCATGTTTACATTTATAAATCCTGTTATCGCTCACGTTTTCGGAATCATTTCTAATGGACTTGGTATTTGAGCCTTAACTGCATAGGATTGAAGTGCATTGACTATTCAATCCTTAAAGCTACAACTTTGTTAATTAGTATGAGCACATTTGTAGTCCATATCAGAGTTAAATCAAGTGTACCTACTTTTTAGAAATTAAATTTTTGCAAACTGGACTTCAAAATAACTTGGAAACCCAATTTCGGAAAACGTCCGAATTGTCTGGTAAAGAAATGGCCTACAAGAAGGTTGGTCGTTACGCACGACTTCCGGGGTATTTGTGCATTCAAATAATGCGATTCTATTTCAAAGAAAAGACAAAATCGAACACCAAGGTGAGAGTGATGAAAATTTGTCCCCTTTTCCAAGTATTTAGTTTTTTGTCGGTTACCTTTCTTAGCCATTAGTAATCGTTTAGAAAGGTATATTCCGTATTTAAATCTACGCTTTTAGATTAAGTAGGGATAGATATGCACACTTGTTCCTCATTTCGTTTAATTTGGTGACTCCGGTTTCGGATCTTTTCGGTTCCTAAAATAAACTAGCTATTTAATATCTTATTATTATTATTATATCAAATGGCAGGCGTTTTGATGGTCATCATTAGCCCTTTAGTTGACTTCAGGCT